ATATATAATACAGGAGTCCTTAATATCAGTCAAAGATATTCAGACTGGGTGTACTGGGTCAGAGTTATACAAACTCATTACAAGTATTTGTTTCTTGGGGCCTATTCTTAGGAGAAAAGGAATAAAGAACAGGATAAAAATGAAACAAGAATGTGGCTCCTGTAAGGAGCACTCTGTAGCCCAGATTACAAGGCAAATTTAGCCCCACTTTGAGGTAAGGCGGACCACATTTGTGGACTCCCTATCAGTAAGTCATCAGCTTATTTGGGGAGGAGGGAAACATCTCTGAGATTATGTTTGGTTGAGTGAAATTCTCTGGGTAAAAGGTATCTGGTTAGTAGTTATCAGCTAACATGCAACAGCAGCTATGGAACCAGTGTACCCATTGACAAGGAGGACATGGGCCAGTCACCACGAAAATTCATTGAAGTACATAACATACTCACCTCATTTCATTTAATATTTTCAGATGCAGCACTTTAAATATTGGATGGAGGAACTTGAACTGGACATATAACTTTAAGATATGTACATTTTGGTACATTTAAATCATCTACAATCAAATCTCTATTATTTTCATGTGGACTTATGAGACATTATGAATCAGTGCCGATGGTATACTGCTCATGAAGATACCCATATACTTCCAAAATAAAATATGCACTTTTATGTGGCTAAGCCCCTTCCCCTTCTAAACTGAGAAACATAAATCTCCAAAATAAACAAATATTTCATAGAGCTCATGCATTCATTTACCCAACAAATGTTTTTTTATAATACCTTCTACATATTTAACAATGCTATGTAATTTTTAGCTGAAAGTGCAAAAAGCAGATAATTTCTACAGGCAGTTCTCCAAGTTGTGAAGGATGATTAATTTAAATCCCTCCTACTAGCTTAGGAGGAAATAAGTGCTATAGGGAAATATAAAGAAGGATAATGGAATGGGAAGTGGTAGGTGCTATTTGAGATCAGAAGGGTTAGAAAGGCCTTTCTGATAAGTTGATTGCTAAACAGAGAGCTGAGCATGTGAGGAGCAAGCATTACAGACACAACATTTCCTAGATAAAAAGTGTTTGTTGAAAACACATAACACAAAATGCTTTAGTGAATCTGGGGGTTCTTCATGAAGGCACAGACAACTCTTACAGTTAACATGACATAGCACCAGTGGATGCCCATCACGGTCTACATTAGTGACAAGTGGTCTCTGAGCTATACCAAAGGAAAGAGGCAGCAACACAGACCTGATGTCTTATTTAAGGACACGTGCTCTAAAGTTTGATTTGAAAAAATAAAAGACATTGCCTACTGTAGGTGCTAAGGAATTGTTTTAACTCTGATGCATGACCAATAAAACAAATCCTCATTATTTTCTCTATAACATTTAGGAATAATTTTATCATAATTTAGTGCTTATAAAATCTATTTTTTTCCTTCTAAAACACAGATGAATATAAAAAGGTTACTGATTCTAAGAAGTTTCACTTAGATGGACATAACTACTTCGATCTTAGAAAACAAAACAACATAATTACATTTTATGACTACAAAAGGGATGAAGAATGATGTTAAATGAAACTCTCCATGGGATCTCATAAAATAAATTAAGTAGCAATTTTAGACTAAATTGTAATCAAGGAACCAAATATTTAGGTAATTTATTAACTATGTAGAAACTAAAATTTTAAAAAAGTTGTGGCACATTATTGACAGAGTTCTTACAACATCCTAATGGAAAAAGATGTAAAAAACTTTTTTCAATAAAAATACCTTTCAACTGCTTAAAGCAGCTTTTAAAAAAATCACTGGTGTTTTATTTAAATATAAGAAAGAGTTTTGTTTCCTTAATCATATTATACCTGTTACACTCAAATTTTAAAATGTGACATATGCAATATAATAAATTGCATATAGAAATATTAAAAGGTTGTTGGAAACATTGGCTGTTTACCAAAGCACATAGTTAGGCTTTATGTTTAAAATGACATTCAAATAGCCTAAATCATTAATGGAAAATCAAGCCAAGTTACTACAATAATGTCCTTTGTTAGAATTTGAGACACTTTTTTATTCTTATTGTCAGATTTCTCAGTGAAATAATTGTTGTTGGGAATAAATGGAAATATTTAATTTCAAATAGTATCATCTATGTGAGTCAATTACTTAGAGTGTTATGGGCAGATGGTTTAATCAGAGAATTGAAGCAAGAGGAGTCTTTCTAGCTCTTTATCACTAACAATACATGGCTTTACAGATCTAAAAAGATTCCATGAATTTTGACTTATGAACCAAAAATTATATCTGCTGAAATTTATATTTGGAAAAGCCCAGATTGTGTGTGCTACTGATGGTGTATATACCTCTCTTCAGGTTTTATTTCAATCATATCTATGTTAAAACAGGTTAAAGTTTTAACATAAATTATTTTCAGAATCTAAAATATTCCTCTAGTCTTGAGCAAAACTCATTTATCCAAAGCTATTCTAAATAATGATTCCAGAAAAGATATTTTCACATTCAATGTTAATCATGAATGTTATAGAAGTACATTTATTTTAAATTATTGGGAGAAATAACATTAAGACATTGGTAAAAAACTCCATTTCATTTTCACATTTTAAGTGAAATATATGAATCTTCAAATAAAGACCTCTAAGTAAGAGATTAGTAAGGATACTATTCTACTCACTAGAAAAATAAGGCTATGCAACAACTGAAATTATTTGAAAATTCCACTATCAATTGTTTGACACTAGAAATAAGCAATTA